CAAACGTATAAATGATTTAGATGTCCACACACAGAGAAAAAAAGAAAAAATTCTCAGTCTACTCATAAGTATAATACTAGTATGTATTTACGTAAAGTTAATTTAATAATAGTAAAAAGTATTGATAAATTTAATTCTATATCTTATTAAATACATTCATATTTGACTATGACTTATAAAACTCGTGAAGCACAGACGGGTAATAAGGCGTATTTTTCATATGGTAGACTACAAAAATAGAAAATAGAAAATAGAAAAGAAAATTTTTGGATATAGAATACTATGCTGGAGATGGAAGGCATAGTGAATTGTTGTTAAACAACTATTGATGGGCTTGAATATTTTTTTATGTTATTGTTTCAACATGGCTGTATTAGATAAACCATATATTAAAATAGTAACAATTTCTAGTACATATCAAAATTTTCGACAATGTTTACGTAACATGGTTTTATATTTGATGTACTCAACTAATTCGTACTTTCAAAAGCTAAAAAAACTTGCAACTAGAATAAGAAATGCGGAAGAGAACAACGTATAACTTCCCAACGTAAAGGAATCACAGTATAGTTAAGAGTTATTACTATTTTTTTATAGGTAAAACGATATGCTAGTTATAAAAACTGATGGAGCCTTGACCTTATTAAAAAGGTGTTTTAACGTTTAGCATGTTATGTCTCATTTTGTCAGATTCGCTTTACCTACGCCGACTTTGAAACATGGAGAATAATCTGCGTACTTATCGAGTGCACTCTTCCGACCTTTTTTTAACAGTCCTTCCCGAACTAACTATATAATAGTGTGCTTGCTTAGCTCAAGCCAGCCCCGCTTTCAGTGCATTCGCTGTTATTTGAGGTACCCTAGAAAACACAACAATGCCCGTTCTATAACTCATAATCATCTTAGAAATTAATTTCTTAACGCTACTATTGTAAGTATGAGACCATTGCATATGGCATTGCATATTAATTTTATTCACTATCTTATTTACAACATTTATGAAGAAAATGGCCAATAGAGTTACGACTAATAGTCGATTTCCATGTTTTGCGTTTAAGGTAACAGAAATTTCTACTACAGTCTTATTACATGCTGCGTACACCCACAATCAGCCATAAAGTTGGCAATTTCCCCTTCTGTAACCTATCTTTCTACAATTTTAGCAGTAGGTAACAATGGAGTAATCTTTTCGCCAACAGCCTTGCTGCTCTACTGCTGTACTTGTTCTGAGATTCTCTTTTTTCCTTTTACGTTGTAATACTTTTGAAATACTTGATTTTTTGTAGTGAAGACAATATTGTAACTATTGCAACAAAAATTTTAATTTTAATATGTGTAATAACAAGAAAAAAATAAAAAATGTCTTAAGATACGTAAATTTAGCCTTTAAGCTAAAATACACATATTTAAAATGCGTGGCGCATTGAAGCAACTTGCTAGCTCAAAATATCGATGAGCAGTTTTCTCACATGCTCTATTTTATCCCAATACGCAGAGAAGGATCGACGTTCAAACGCCATTTATCACGCCACTGTCGGGGATTATAACAGTGGTGGAGAAGGACGTGGAAATATTATGAATAACTAATAATTTGCGTACGTTAGTGGCACGTGAGATGAATTGACTGCAGCAAGACTGAGTGATATATGCACTCTTTATACTACTAATACTGTGCAGCACCGCATGATATCAATTTTGACTAGAAATAAAAGCTTGAACAGCCAACGCATTGGCTCACGTGCCCTACCGTTAAGATGTTATCATACGCAGTGACATCTAATATATTAAAGTTGCAATGAAAGGTTTTTTATTATCAATATCATATATTACAGATTTACCTTATAGCGCATACTACGCTGGCAACGATTATCTCTTCTATTTAGCTTGCACTATGGCAAGGGATTCAATGTTTCTTTGCACCTAATACTCGCGTGGCTCTTAGGTATCGTTAGGGAAGTGGTTAAGGGGGCACAACTGCTCGTTGATCACTAACTACTATAACAAATGCACGAAGTACCTACCAGATCCCTGCTCGATGCAACGATACTTGCCATGACGTCACATTCTCTTCACCAACGCCACATATAGCAATCCACATTGAGGAGATATATTACGCTACCATTGAGATCCTCGATGCTGACAACACGTTTTGAGAGAGCGTATGATACCTCGAATTACCGTGTAACAATACATACATATGGGTCATTCTATCGAAGGCGGCATATTTTATGTCATACTTAGTTACAACATCGTTCAAGGAGATATTAATCTGAAAACTATTTAAGTTATTCAAGGGATGTTAACTGCTCAAGTTACAGCAGAATTAAGATCACCATAAAGTATTCCTTTAATTTGAGATACAGAAGAAAGACTAAACTAGCATGTCAGGCTCGTGTCTAACACATAAGTTTACAGTTTTTACTACACCACGAATCAGAATCCGTAAATTTAAAGATTCTGTATCCCAAAAATAAAAAAGTAAGAGTCCGTAATGCTAAGGAATATTATGGTTTTTTTTTTAATGTTCATTTATCAACTTGGAAGGTGACGGGTTAAAATGAAACTATTTTATACATGATAATACTGCAGGGGTGAAGTTTACATTTAATTTCATACGTTGCAATCTCGATTTTTTGACGCATTTGTAAGAGACCGTAAGGATGTTTATTTTTAATCTGTAACGCCAAAGGATGTGATGTATCTTTTCAAAACGTTAGTTATTTACTCTAATGATAGTAGGTTCAGATACAACTGTTAAGTATATGATAGAAGCGCAAGCATGACGTTTATTTTGCGTTTGGTGCTTTGCAATCTCAATTTATAAGAGCCCATAACACTCTATTTTTTGCTATGAGCCAGTAACGCTATCCTGCAATGATTCAAAACGTATCTTTTCTTTGTTTAATGTTGGATTATCACTTTGGATGGTAGATTGTACACATGTCAATAGTAACTAGATAATATTAATGTTCAAACAAAGTCATATTAATAATGACAGTACCATTATTTCGTTTGTAATAAGATTTTATTAGAGTCCGTAACGCTCCTAGTTTTTAAAATTAACCAAGAAATATGTTGCAAAAAAATTTTCTCGTCCAGATCTAGCAATGCCCAAAAAGTTTCAAGTTATTCCAGTAACGGAGAACACGAAAAAAATACTTTATTAAACAACATTTCAGGTTCTTGTTTATTTCGTTCCTTGAAATATGCTGAATTTCATAGAACGGCCTATATACACACAATATACAGTTATATGGTTAGCCTGTGCTGGGCAATAAATTTGATACCCATATCGCTGACGACAGTCGGGCTCGAAGCTCGGTGGTTTGGTGATGAAAGTTGTGAGCCCTCGCGTATATTTTATATCTTCATAACTTTCGTTTGAGGGTTAGGATCGCTCCCTTGACTACATATGGATATGAAAAGTTTGATAGTCACATAAGCAAAACCTCAGTATAGCCAAGTGTAGGCAAGGCAGCCAAAGTACAGCTGTAGTAGAGCATATATACCTATAAGTATATATGTATACCTATCAGAAGTTTATGCGTACGTTTGGTGCATATACTGTGTTTGTTATTTTATTACCGATAGTGGGAAAAATATACGAGCACTTGAAAAAAATTATCAATACTTTTGATAAGAATCTTCAGAGGCAGTAGAAAAAGCCAGTTTATAATGTACTTGGACGAAAAAAAAACTTATTGATTGTACTTACGGAAGTCAATTGTAATTATTCATTTAATTATTTTTAAGCTGTTTCAATTTGTATCTTTTATAGCTTAAGAAACAAGAACTATTGAATGCAAAGAATCCTAATCTTAGTGATTATTATACTTGATATTATTCGTTTTTTTAAATCTGTACAATTCGAGCGACAAGAAAATGGTGACTTGTACAGCTGTATGGATTACTGACTCATAACCGTTTGGAAGAAACGTGTTTCCTCTTTCTTTGCAAATACCTCAAGAAAACGCTTTGCTCTCAGCAGTTTGCAAAGTGGCATTCAAAAGAAAAGGAAGTTTTCCACTAGTACCTCATAATGTGTCTCTTAAAATATTTTTATTTTCGTCGGAAAATGCAAGTGTAACTCAGATTGTGATTCTATTCTGTAAGAGCTTATATTGAAAAAAAAGAACTTAAAGGAAAAATTTTTTGAGATTTTGGAAGGCTTAAGGTAGAAATGAAGGTATTATAAGATTTAGCAGAGTAAAATTCATCAATTTTAACATGTGTCATTACGTAGATTTCCGCAAGGGAGTACCGTAAGGTTTAAATTTCTTAATGACACTCAGATTTACATTAATAATAGCTTTGGTTTGGTAGTATATTTAAATATATATTAAAGAAAAATTAATCAAAATATTTATAGACCCTCATATGCTATGTATTTCTTGTTTATTTTATCTCGTTACATTTGTACTTGTACCTTTTATCAACTTATGGTGACATTAGCTGTAGTTACCCATCATATTTGATGGTTACGCTGATAGCGTCAGAGTGTATCTAGCATTCAGAAAAATAACTTGTTCTGAAATTTTTTCCGCAGCCTTTTTTTATTATTTCTTTGTTTTATCTATGTATTGACCGTAAAACAAAATTTTTCACCCTTCTTGTAACAACGGTAACTAACTGGCCAAAAGCTACATAGAATCGTTACTTTTTTATGCCAAGCACTCATTTGTTAATAATTTTTTTAATTTATCTCACATGACATGTCTATAAACTTAATAAAATTAACACTAAATTTTTTATTCATGTGTAATTATAGTGGTCGGAAAATTGGGAGCTAAAGAGTTATTACTCGATATTATTATGATTAATAGTATAATTAACTTCATTGTATTGATTCATTAATTGTAAGTTCTAACGATGAAATAATTTTTGTAATTCTTTTGGCTCCTAAATAACTTTTTCGAGATAAGAATACTAACCATAAAAGTGATAACAAGTGGTATTTTCTAAACTTGCGTATATTTGTTTTTTTTTAAACTTCCATTTAGATAAAGAACAATACTACAGCGCCTCAAATGAATTCGTAGGTGTGATAGTAAAGCAAGAGGTGAACCTGATAGTGGGCAAAAAAAAACGTGGTCGACCAAAAAAAATCAAGAATCCGGAAGAAATGCCAGTCCCTGATTCCGAAAAAATAGATAAAAATGGTGAGATTATAAAAAAGCGACGTGGTCGACCTAAGAAGATTCATCAACAACAAAAGCTAGCTGAACGTGAGACTAAAGAGCGTGAGCTTCAGCTACAGCAATCAAATCACCAGCAACAACATCACCAACACCAGCAGCATCACCAGCACTGTCAGCAATTCAGCCAACTTGGTGATGACTATGGTGGTATGTCCGGCTCTTTTACACCAACCACATTGTCATCATCCAAGACCTTTTCCAACTTGGTTTCCTATCATCAGCCTTTACCTGATTCTGTAGGTTACTATGGACATTCTCTGTCTGACGGAACCTATAATCTTGGCCAAACTAACAAGCAGCAGCAACACTACTGCCAAAGTCCAAAATCAACGGAACTTGGATATGGCCATACAGAACTCTCTTCAGAAATGAGCCCAGCTCTCAGCTCAGATAATAATTTAAGCAAAAGCATCTCACCTGATATTCAACAGCCTCCTGACTTTGATAGCTCAGGTCTACCCCAGCAAACTGCTATTTACAGTGCCACAGAACATGGCAGTCCTGCCAGAACATCTTTTACCAGTTACATAAGCTATCATGAGCAACAGCAGCATCAACATCAACAACAGTTACTATTACAACAACATGAACAGCAGCAATCTCATCAAGGCATATCCACACCTCTGAGCCAGACAACAGATGAACACTCGCACTCAACGCCACCACAGACGCACCAGCATACGCCAACGCACTCAATGTCACCACATCCTCACGAACAGTACTCTCAATGTAAGTAAATATATGTCTTTCTCCAATAATATAAGTCATATTAATAAATTTCAAACTCATACATGCATATGTAGATATATTTGCTGTGTCACGACCTGCATCAGTACCATTATTGACAAAAAATATTAATGCAATCGTTAGGGTGAACAAAGTAAATTGTTACAAAAAAAGTACATAGCCATGTGAAATAACTAAAAAAAAAATTTATCGCAAAGATATAACATATTTCCAATGTTCTGAATGTTTGTGGTCAGGTAAGATTTATTGCTTAATTGTTACAGTGAAAAAAAAACTTAGCCCTCGATCCTCGTGTTCTTTTTAACCAAAAAATTTAGCCAATCACTCCATGGAAACAGATAGCTTTATTGAATCTTCCTTTAATTATTATTAAATGCAAGAGAAAAGTACGTACAAAAGTAATGTACTTAAGAACATAGATTTTAAAGTAAAAGAATTTAACTTGGTCAGAAGTAACAATAATAAACAATACGTCATCTGTAATTATAGGTACACCCAAACTATAAACCTATTCTTACAGTTTACAAAATGCTTAAGGAGTTACAAAAAAACAAAAAAGAATTTTTTTGTATTTTGTTCCTTCATAAAAAAAGCTTTACTACGGACAAAAAATGACAGGAAAATATACTATTCTTTTGTGTGAGTGTGTGTGAGTGTAATTGTGTTAATGTATCACAACAGTTACATCTTATTATTTCTTTAATCGATTGAGATCAATCAAGGATTTTGTAAGATTCTCGTTACTGTTGCAAAAAAAAGTTAGTTCCGCTGTCTGCGTTCTTTTCAGTTAAGATGTCATTGAATTTTTATTTATTTATTTTTTTTAATTAATTTTTTCAATATTTTGTTTTTATCGTTGTAGAATAATATTTTCAGTTAGTATTCCTGACATAGACTCAATTATTTCACAAAATAACTTACTTCGATAAAAAAAATTAATTTAAATGGATGCTTGTTTATGAGTGTACATGTATGTATGCATGACCATACCACACGATCGCTAACTATGCATGCGATGTAAAACCTTTGTACTTGAAATAAAATGGTAATGCTGTCAAAAAATTATAATAAGTAATTAATAACATTTCAGCCCGAACAGTTATAACATAACAAGGCATTCGTTAGGTACAAAATACTCGTCATAACACAGTGACTGGAAGTAGCATGCAAGAGCGTGAAGTGGCTAATGCAATATTCAAAGTTTTTGGACAGATCTTCTACGGATACTACTCATACATGTAAAAGTCGTATGTTTCTAAATAGAAGTTAATAGTACTACCTCTATGGTCATTGCTCATTAAAATCCTTAATACTCTATATAACAGTTTGCTGCCAGTAGCCTACATTGTTTGTATAAATGTGCCAAACCTAAGTAAGGTAAATTTGTTATGTCTAATACTACCTAAATTCTACTTACAAGAAAGTACCATTCGATATCCTTTATCTTACATACAATTCAAGATCAACTCAAAGACATATACAAAACAGATATGTATGAGCGGTGCCTATATAAGACCTCTGTACGTAAAGATTTGAAAATTACATTCACCAATTTGCATGCTATTTTTAATTACTGTGCTGTAAAAAGTATTTTGTACCTGATAAAGGTCTTGTTATTTTATAATAGTATGGGCCGAAACGTTGTAAGTTATTGAAAATAAATTCTTGCTCAGCAATACCACCCAAATCATTGTTCTTAAAATTAATGATCGGCTACTACTCGATCCTTAAAATATTAAATTTATAGTATCAATTTACTTGTTAGAACAAGTAACACAATGATAGGATGAAATTAGCAATTAGTTGGAGGCAAATTAGAAAACAAATAATTTTTCTTTTTCTTTGTTTTTTTTTTTTTTTTTAATTTTACAAACTTTTTATTGGCTGTTGTGGGAACTTCATCAGCCTACAAAGATATATTACATATTATATCTTACACTTTATATCGTCTTACATATCATCTTATATTATATTACATATACTCTCTTTCATGAGTGGATTCTTATTTTTTGTGGTATGGATTAAGAACTCTTAGCATTAAGTCTAAATCTTCTTTTAGTCCAATTAAACAGTCACTTTCTAGTTTATCTGTTACAAGATCTACCGAAGAAGAGTTTGGAGAGCCAATTGAAGTACCAAAGATTTGTTTGCACTAATTGTTATCATAGGTAAAGTAGGTATTTTCAAATAAAAACCGTATGCAGTCTCCGATTTTTTCCATGAATATTTTGGGATTTAAAAAAAAAGTTTTATTACGTCTGTCGATACTATTTATTGCATGAGGGAAAATGCGTTACAAAATAATATAGCCACCCACACTGCGGTCTAAGCCGTCTCCTCAATCTCCTCTCTTACGCACTCCCTCTCACTCCATTTATCTTTCTCTTGCATGTACACTGCACGCTCCCTTCCTTCCGCTGCTATATAACATATATATTATACGTATGTATTTTTCTACGCTATGACAAAACTGATGCACTTGCTTAAGCTAAGGTATAGGTATAGAGATAAAAAATGAAAAGATAAACAACAGCTGTACCTATACTAGAGGCAAAGTAAACGTAATTATATTCTATACATACGTACGTGTTGTATGTCCCGGTTCGCGCGAGAATTCCAGTAAGAAACATGATAAGAATCGTCTTCCTTTCCTATTTATCCTTTTAAATATAAACTTACTCACTTTGCTTGGATCATAAATGTTAACGGACGATACAGCCACGTCACTTTTTCTCAAAACTTAACCTATCACCATACTCACTACTAAAGCTTATTGTTATTTAATGGTTAATGAACCATGAACTTTAAGCGAAGTAGTAAGAAAAATAGTATACATCACATGGGACGTCACTCGATAATCCACTCTGGTGGTTTGACCCCTTTATTTATCGATTTTGATGCTGACGCGTCAATCTCGATAAATCTTCTGCGTTATTTATTGACGCCTAAGATTGTATACATTAGATATATTTGAAGTTTACCTTCCAGTTAGCCTTCTTTCGATTTTTGGTATGGTTAAGACTTATGTAAGCCCTAAAGGCTGTTTTTGTCAACTTCGTTAAGTTGTAATATATTTGTTGGTAAGGTAGTTCGAAGTTGGATACCCCTTAAAAGGGCCGGTAAGCTAAGCTCTTTTTTGCCTGAAGTTTCCAGAAAACGTGACTGCCTAAATACCTCAGGGTGATTCTTTCTGGCCTGCTGTTGTAGCATCAGACTGATTGGAAGAAAAATACAACGTCTGTAGAGTTAGAAAATACGTAGGTATATAAAAAACTTTTTTTTTGCAGACTCCGTTGTTTCCATAATTTAAGGTGGGAAGAGTGGTTTGTGATGCTTGCCTGGTAGAGACGGTTCCGTTTGCTAAAATTAATGTTTTCTCTGTAGCTATTAGGTTAGCCTACCACAGACCTAAGGAAGGATCGATGATGTCTGGTTTAGTACTGAGAGTTGAAAGGGTGATATAGGGTCATAGGTTGCCGCGGCTCCCATTCTTGCAACGAAAAACTATGCCCATTACGTCTGCCAGTGGATGACTGACTTGGTTTAATAGTGGTCGACATTATATAGTCTTTTAGTCATCGAATTGTTGACGGAAATGGTCGTAAAAATGTATTTGATGACAAGGTAAATTAACCTGAAGTGGTCCTTAGAAGAACCCACGAGATTGACAGTTAAGTAATGAGCGTAAATACTTATAATGGCTCACAAAAAATGGTAAGACTTTCAGCTATTCCTTATATTAATCTTGGTGATGGAGAGCTAGCTGCTGCTAGCTTAAATCTTACCATCGGAGTCTCTGTGTACGGAGACCATGCTGGAGGAAGGTACACCACTGGGAGAAGAATATCTCGTCTTTGGGTCGTTCCCTGGATAACCAACAACTCATTGTTAGTTGGGAAAGTGGACCTGGAGAATACCTTTTCTGTCGGTAGGCCGTTAGGATGACTACTAAGAATGAGGCTATTGTGGCTGCTTAATCTCCTCAGGGTTGTTTTTTCTGGCTTGCTGTTGTAGCAACATCTGCTCTCGTAGTCCCAGAACGGTCGGAAGAATGGGCATGAAATCCCATAATGCTACAGCAGGTTCTGCTGTGGCTAGACATGTCTCCTGGTATGTCGCTGGAGACGTTAGAATTTAGAATACCTTTTTATTGGTGACTTTCATCAATCTTGGTGGTTTGGGATAGAAATAGACATAAGTCGCTCGTCTATTAGAGAACAATATTGTCGGTAGTCCGGATACCCAGCTGCCTTTCAGCTGACTTTCAGCTCTATGCTTCATGCACTACTGATGATCGGCACTTTGCTCAGGAATGTAATAACAAGACTTAATGAATTCTCTTGCAGGTAGCTTCAATTTTACTTCTGCGCCACCAAGCAGATTCCACTGAAGTGAAGTAAAAAACTAGCGTATTTCTACAAGACTTTAAATTTATTTATTGCTATTTGTAAATAATTTTTCAAAATGAGGTCCATACTAAAACCTTCTAGAAAGTGTCAAGACATGTCAAATTTCAGCAAGATAAGTTAAATAGTTTTTGCAACTAGCGATTACAACAGTCTAAGCGACTTTGATTTATATGTTAGTAATATGTATTTGTAGCCTGGTGTATTTGAGGTACAGCAGTGAAAAAAATATTGCTAAATAAAGAACACTAAATAAAAAATGTTATATTTAATTTATTTTCTAATTTGCCTTCAGCTGATTGCTGATTCCATCCTATCTGAATAAGGTTATAGAAATCGCTGATTTATTTTATTTTTTAAAATCCACACTGTTTATTACCATTAATATTATTAATATCCTCATTCTTATAATAATAATATTATCGAGTCACGTGGGAGCGCGACGAGGTAAGTTTGAGAAAGCAGACAAAGCCTCAGCGACCGCGGTACTATTTACTTCAGATTTGCATCCTCGAATTTTGAAATACTGAAAAATAAGTATTATTGCTGGTATCCCTGATGTATTTTGGTGTAATT